CAAGATAGATCAACCCGACAACCTGCCTAGCGATGGAACTCTCCCAGCACCAGACGCTTGTTCGCAGTGTGCTTGCGTACTAACTCAGTGATCGAGTTAGAGGTACTCATAGGTCTTCTAACACGATAGTAACCTGAAACGAGGAAGCGCAAATCAGTACTGCGAGAGCAACGACAGATTTATAGAGCGACTGAAAGCCGATGGTTCACAAAGCGTCTGTGTGCTACCTCACGTAAAAGGCTATATCACCCACTTGACTGCCAATGGAGCAGTCAGCGCGGAACAGTACGTTGCGAGGCAGAGGCATTCGACTATCTGTGCTTTCCCCAGAGAGCGACGTTTCCATGTAGACAAGTGTGTCTGGACAAGATTCATCCACATACAGGCGCACTTCCCACATCTTGTTCCTCAAGCTACACACGTTGCTGAATACGGTTAGTTGAACAACCTGCTCTTGGAGTCAGCTGGGTGGTTCGGGTTTAACCCGGTCCAGCAAATAATTCGGGGGCAGTGTTCCAGGACGTGCTGACGTTTCGCCTGACAAGCGTACTCCCTATAAAATGCCAAAACTCTGCATAACCGCACGGTGAGATGGCGTTCGTGCTTCGCCACAGAGGGAAGACACAGCCACCGCGACATCCGGATTATCCTCTCAAACCCACGGACCCCCATCTTCTACTCGCATATTGCTGACGCTATCAAGGATGCAAGAATGGAGCAGCGCAGTTACTAGCACAAGTAAGCAACTACATGTTTGGCGGCATCCGGTTTCGGTTTCGCCAGCCACTGTGGCGGGCTACGGCAGATCTGTGCCTATTGAGGTACCATGCGCGGCTTGCATTGCACTACCCACAGCTCCAATCACCCACCCCATTCTAGTGCAAACCCTGTGGGAAGAAGACCCGTAGGCATGAGGATGGAAGCCAGGTTACATAAACGGAGCCGGCCCACACTTCTTCAAAGGCAACCGCAAGCACGCTGTAGGTGGGCACACAAGTGCACACAAGGCGGTGCCTGGACCGTAGTCCGCTCTTCACTGAGCCCATGGAACCACTCTGCGAGCCTAGCACGGCCACAATCACCGTGCATCCCGTCCCATCCAGCAACGACCAACTGTCTCCTAGAGCCAGTATGGATGAGTTGGCATGTAATGGATAGGTAGGCGCCTTCTCAACGTGCACAGCAAGCGATGTCACCCGGGGATAGCAAGCGTTGGCCAACCAGTTAAAACGATAAGATGAAATAAAATAAAATGCATAATCCATACAGGTATGGTGAAATAACCCTACATTAACTGAGCGCATGAAATAACTTTGTTACGAACTGATCCGCCATAAGTTAAAGACGTCAGAAAATATATTTTAAGAAACTGCCACAAACACGAAAATGTTATCGAAGTTAACTATTATTAGTTTAGGCGAGGTGTGAAACTTTAAAAAAGGTCTTTCAGGTAGCAATTAAAATGAGAAAGGAAGCATTAGGACAAAATTGAAAACTCACCGCTTGAAATGAAGCGTTAGCATGCAAGCAGATGGTTAGTAAATCGAGCGCAACATACCTACAAACGCTGCGCCTGTTCTGCCTATATACTCTGCATGACTCGTCGCCGCTTTAGTGATTGTCCTGTGTGGCCTCGCTCCTGCCACACTAGGTCTGCCTGATTCAGGCAAACGCGACCGCATGTGCTACATCCCAATGCGCCGGATAGAGCACAACCCACCGTAGCTTGCAGCTTCCGCACTTGCCGCTTTTTCTCTGAATGCATGAGGTCCATCTCCCACACTTCGGCAACTGCTTCTATGAAAAGATCGCGCCATGCGAGCCGGTCAAATGCCTTTGATTCCTATGACCAGCAATCAAGGGTAGAACTGAGAGGATCCCTCTGATCATGTCCTGGTAACGAAGCTTCGGTTTCCTCACATGCCGCTTCCTAATACCCAGCTGACCATGTACTAATTGATTCTGTATCCGTGTCGAATACATACGGCTCACAGGACCGAACTAACTCAGGTGTCTCAGCATAAGTATGCAGTCCACGGCATACATTCCACCTCGACGCACAATTCCCATGTAAACAACACTACCGCCCCAACCGATGTGCACAATCAGTCGCAAACACTGTTGCTGGAACGGCTCGAGATATCGCACATCCCACCGGCACACCCTCCACGTTGCACTGCCGTATGGATGCACGGACAGTACCATGGATTTGTACACCACCAGCTTCGTGCCATTAGTAAGCTGACGGTTGTTACACACTCGGTACTCTAGCATCCCGAATGCCACCACTGCCTTATAGACGCGGATACGCAGCTCACTGTGTTGCACGAATCAGCGTAGTATCAAATTGCTGAGTTGTGTGGCAAGCTGGTTGCCCGCATTCTGCTCAACCGCCACGTCAGTCAGATGGTGGAACCTAGTGGGTCCGGAGAGCAGTGTGGCTTCCGTTCAGGTAACAGCGCGATAGTTATAGTGTGTACGGCACGGCCGTTGCAGAATAAGTACAAAGAACCACGCCGGCCGTTGTGTTCCCTATTTGCTAAATTCACCAAGGCATTTGATACAGTGAACCACGTGGCATTGTGTCTGGTGTAGGGTAAGTTTCCTTGCCGGCGTAAGATTGTAGGGTTACTTGAATGTTTGAACTGTGGCATGCTTGCGAGGGTGAAGCTTGGTTGGCAGACTGCTGCTGACTTTGCAGCTGTCTCTGGTGTAAAGTACGACTGCGCCTTAGCTCCTGTGCTGTATAATATCTATCTTCATGCAATGAGGTCTTGGGCTTTCGATGCAGCTTGTGCTAGCCGTGTTCATGTGGAGCACCGTATTGATGGTGGGTTGCTGAACATCCGTCGTTTCGGTGCGAACACACTACTCTATGAGATAACTTTCTTTAGGTTGCTGTTTGCTGACGACTGTGCGTTGTTTGCACACAGCGCAGAGGAGTTGCAGCACAGTGCTAGTGCACTGCCTTCGACAGCGGCAAAATTCAGCTTGACAGTAACGCAAACGGAACTGTATGCCACTAGCACCATTCACCGGAGGTGCAATCTTCCATATTGCCACGAAGCAGACTTGGTGCCGAAATAAGGGAAACCACCTCCCGCTTCATATACAATGGGAGTGTGATGTCGAAGGACGAGCAGCCACACAGCCATATACACACAGGATCATCTACTTACATACGTGCTACAAAAGTCTACACCATTTTGGTAAAAATATCAGATTTTTGCACATTCTTTATCACACATTATTTGGTCAAACTGATCATGGCTTTAATGGCTTACCTTGCGTTGTCGAGCATAAAAGCATTATTTATTTATTTATACTACTTGGAGGACATCGGCGCGAGCAACGCGAGGTCGTGTGGAAGAAGGGTAGGTTCTGCCGGAGTGGCAAAGAAACGTCGGCTGACCGCCAGCAAACCCAACAATAAAAAAGCTTGTTCGCCAGCTTTACACCGACTTTTAGGTAACTGCTCGCTTCCATTAACTTTAACCTATCCACTAACGAAAGGTCTGGTTTGGAGATGGACACAAACAGCACTAAACCTTGCACTCTTTTAAAGCGGATAGAATCACCCTAAACAGAGTGAGTCGAGGATTTGGGTTACCGACTGGAACATTCCCTAACCGGATGAGCTTCCAGACAGTACCGCCAGGAAAACCTGGTGGTAACAGCCTGGGCACGGAAACTTCCAGCCAACGGCTGTGAACAAGAGCAGTTAAGGGGATAAAAAAGCAGTGAACTGAGCCATCGCACTTAACTAGCGCAAGAATAACATCCACTAAATAATTAATACGTTGTTATGTATTTGTATGTCTTATTCAGTATGCTTCAAGACATGAAGTGATACGCCATCATGCTGCTGAAGGTATTTGTTGTGACGCTTACGGATAGAGTAAACATAATGATAATTGATCCACCTTTAGAACTTGCTAGGCGCCAAGTGGTTGGTTGCGCAGACAACTTGAAACATCTCAGTAGACCATACGCCTTCGTTTCATCAACCGCCACTATAGGCGCCTTCGGGGAGACCTGATTCTTACGTACCGTATAATGACCAACAAGATTGGGCCTGATCTAACTGGACTGTTCCAGCCGGCTCAGATGCCATCTCTTCGTGGTCACCCTCTGAAGTTGCATAAGCCTAGATCTGATCACGTTAGAGCTGACGTTCGGTTGTCACCCAGGGTCATCGACTCATGGAACGCACTAAGTAGTATTAGCACCAACGGTGAAGGAGTTTGAACATCAACTCGACGCCCTTGGGTTACAGTTTCAAAACTTTCCGTTTAGTTCTTAACTTCTACATCTATTTCCTTGGCTTCTTACATCTATTACTATTATTGTCTTACCCACACATTCTCTCCTGTACTACAATTAACATTATTTTGTTGTTGTTGGTTCCCTTCTCTTAACCTTTATTCTATTCACGTGGCCGGTACAGTGGGGACTGCTAGTGCAGGCCGCGTGGGCATTGATTGGTTGACCGTTATGTGATTCGTGTGTATTGATTTGGCTCCTCTCGGCTTCAAATCACTCCCGCGAACTCCATCCTGGTTCAACGACGCATTGAAGAAGGAACACACATGGGAATTCTCCTACCATTCCTGTCCAAATTGAACTTGAACTTGAACGACGATTGCAAATCTACAGCGAAAGCTTCACAACATTTAAGCAAGGTGTGTGTACCATACAAACGTGCACAATCTCATAAGTACAACAAAAGGAAGAAAGCATTTCGAAGGTTGTGTACCAAACATTGAAATCACAAGAACTGTTCTGCAGTACAGCAATTGTAATTTTAACGGTGCAATTTTAGCAGTGAATACAGCCGAATATAAAGTGTTAACAAGGAAACTTTATCCAGGCAACTTCCAATACACTGTTGTATGTACCATTTTGCCGTCCTCAGTTATAGGAGTAGACAGAATATCAGCGGTTCTGATAAAAAGCGAGAAAGCCAGACAGGGAATCTTCAAACTTTACCTAACGCAACTATACTTTCGTGGAGGAGAGACAATCCTGCATGCAAACGCACGTCGTAGCCGTATCCAGAAACAATACGGCTGACTGCTCGAAACAAGCTCTAATAAACCTGCAAAATGGCCTTAAATACAAAGTGTGCGTTTAAACGCATTTTGTTACATTTGGTTATTTCATACAAAGTTCCGGGAACCTTTAGCATTCCGGATAACAAACCTTGTCATAAAACTGATGATATTAAAAGAAGTTGGGAAAAAAATTTCAAAGGCTTCTGAGTGCGATCTGTTGGAACACTATCCCTGGATTCGAACTTGTACTTGACCTCAAACGGTGTTTGTAAGCTGTGTATCGTCGCCAACAGATGGAGGGTATCGTTGAAGTGTCCGATGCAGTGCTGAGGATGCCATTTTGGTTCCTCGTTGATCTTATGCTTTCCTCAAGAATGAGCGGACTCTACCAAAAGATGACACAGTACACAAAGTCTATCAAATTGTTATGTCCAGATTGCACATTTCAAATGGACGAGGCGCGCATGCTCATTATTTTCATAGCCGGTGAGTCTACTTTATTCATAGGGTGATACGGTCGTATGATTTTGTGCCAACAACTCGACCTTGGTTATCCTGTTCTTGACGCTAATTTTTCTGGCACCGTTTCCTCTTAAATACAAACGAATTAGTTTGCGAAATGATATAGGGGATTGACAGCTATATCTTGGACGCAGTGCTTGCGGAAGCAGTTTTTAATGATCCTGAAATGTCTTACCTGTCCCAACATGTTTTCTATTAACGATCTGTGACAGCCTGCACACATGACAGACCTGACCCAGGGACTGCTGGGCAGTAATTGGTTGGACAGGGTGTGATGCGGTCTTTATTTTAGGCTTTTCAACATCTCAAGCAGACCTGTCAATTCCCGATCCAACGATACGCAAAAGAAGGAACATTCACGGGATTATCCTATCGTTCCGGTCCCAACTGAACTTGAACTTATATTGTGATCGACATCTTGATATAGTAGGCTGACGACATTGCCCTGCTCTGTGACAGTTCCTAAACGCGCAAAACAGCACTGGACTGATTAGCACGGTCGTCGAGCGTTTTTGGCTATGCTTTGCACCCTCGAAACGCATAGTCCTCAAAGATTGGCTGGGACCTCTCAGAGAAGTAAGTAGTAGTCCAAGACGGGGCACATAATCGAGTCCGGATATCAAAGGTAAACGAAGACGGACACAGCGGACTGTATTCACTGGGTTACATAAAAACGGACGGATAAAGCCGGACAGGAGCGAACGTAGACACTAACAAAGTAGACGTGTGAGGGAATAGACGGAAGGCGAAGAGCAGTAAAATAACAGCGAATCTTGTACAGCAGTTCAACAATAAAATAAGATGAAAGAGGTCTTGATATGAATTTATTCACCCTGTTTCCATATTTTAACTGAGGTTAGTGGATTAGTTAGTACCAATAGGAGGTCATGAATGGTTTTCTGAAGTTATGAGGCGTTAATCATACTCTTTTGTCTCTGCAGCAGTGAAGCTTGAACGTCAAACTGCCGGGGGCTTTCGCTTACTTACCGGCACAGGAAACGGGGTGCACGTTAGGCGAAGACCTGCTTCGCCCCTGAAGAGCGCTATAGAGCACAGAAGCATTCGATACTCCAATTGATTGGTGTGTCGAGGTTCTTAAAGCACAACCATGCCGAGTAAACGTGAATGAATGTTCGTATCGAATGGCTTTGTCAGAAGCGTGGTATTTAAAGCGGAACTCGATCAATAAGCACTTAGGTCTTCAAGTGGCTTACGAGTGTCTGCGAAACAGTATCTTAAAGCCACACTAGTGATGTTGCCTAGTCTGACAGCGAAACGTCTGCAAAATAATCAGTCAGCTCGGAGAGCAGTGCAAAATCCACACACTAAGCCAGCAGTTTGACTAGAAGACGGCAGCAGACGCGCCACTGGTGCCGGCTGCGAGCCAAGCACTAGGCGAGTCACGTAGACTCCATCTCGGAAGGTGAGAAAGGCTCACGGCACCCAGTTTGGTCGTCCTTGACTTCATTTCACGCTGCGGAGTCAAATTTTATCCGCTTTGTGCCTTGCGCCACCTCACACCTGACGGGCAAAACAAGGCCTTCCTTGGTAAGCGGTAGCCAGGCCTACGTGGTACGTGCCGAAGCCAGCGCGACTTATTCAGTGCTACCTGTTGTTCTATGGAGCTGGCTTGAGTATTATTTCCTAGCAATGGCCTACACACATCATCTTTGCGAACACGCTGGTGCCACCTGACACCAGCAACGCTCCGCAGACAAAAATGATGAGACTTGAAGGCGCCTCAGATCTTCGGGTCGAAGCGGCTGTCTCACTCCTATTGTGTATGAACCGCTCACTGTGGTCTTGTGCACTGCCTTTGAAATGGACAGAAATTGCTTTCTCTCGCCAAACATGTAGTAAATTCAAGCAGGTAATTCTGGCTTCAGTGCGTAAACTGAATTCAGTTGCTATGCGCCCATCATTGCTGATGTACCTGCCAAAGTAAGTGAATTGATCAACCACATCGAGTTCCTCGTTAGCAAGGGTCGAAATGTCATAAAATGGCTGGTAATTCTGCAGAAACACTCACTTCGAAGGTGCGAAGCGGCTACCAAATAATGGGACGACTATAGACAGGCTATTCAGAATTGATTGTGCCGCCGCAACATCGTCGAAAATCAAGACGATATCGTCCGCATAATTAAGTTCAACTAGACTTTCACCAGGCAGGACCTCAACGCCAGCGTCTTAATGCTCCTCAAGGGAACACTCCATTATGGGATCCACGACAAGTGTACAAAGTGGTGAAATTTGACAACTCTGACGAATGCCACTTGTGGTCGGGAAGCTATCTGATAAGCCACCGTAGACCCTGACGCGGCCTTTTGTGTTTGAGTACAGAGCACTAAAATGTCCACATATTTCATGAGAACATCTTTCGATCGATCGACTGTCTCGAACGCACTTTTGAAATCAAGGAAGACAGCTATTGTCGCTATGCAATATGGGTCGCGCTGCTCTAGCACTTGCCGCAGCGTGAATATATAGTCTAAACAACGCCGTCCGGCGTAGAAACCTCTCTGCTCTTCCCTATTCCGAGATTCCCGCTCCGTAGCGATGCAACAAATGAGAATTGAGGCGAGCAATTTTGTCACAACCGGCGTTGGACTAATACCCCTGTAGTGAGCGCAATCGGTGCGAATCCTTTTCTTCTATATTGCCACAAGAATCGATTCACTCCAGCTAGTCGGGACCCTCTTTTCCTTCCACACATGTTCGAACAGGAAGGTCATTGCTTTTCAGAGGACCCCACATCCATCCTTATCTGGTGCAAGTGGGAGGGAATCCGGGTCAGTAGCACGAAAACCACTGAGGGCTGTAATCGCGTTTTGGACTTCAGCCTCCAACGGAGGCTCTAAACTAACCGTCCATGGCTCATCCTGTATCACCTAAGTAAGAAGATGACCAGATGCAGGGGGCCAACTTAACCGCTCTCTAGAAAATGCTTTGTCCAACGAGCCACACGACGCTCCTTATTCTGAATCATGACACCCGCGCTGTCTTTGTCTATTTGACGCTTGGTTTCGTGGGACCAGTGGTGCGGATCAGCTGGAAGAGATTGCAGTAATTACCTACTGCTCCTGTTTCCTCCACTTCTTGAGCCCGACTGGTCCACCAGGTTTCCTTGTCAGCGGACAGACTCCGCTTTAATTCCCGACTGATAGTCCGTCTGGTCACATTGTGCTCAGAGCTAGCCGGGAGGTTTCATCGGGACTCCAGTGAGTTCACTGTCCTCCCGTATATCGAGTGGTTGATGCGATGACGATTGATAGTGCCACAAGCTGATGCTCGTGCGTCGTGAATGGCGGCCGAGATCCTATCCCACTGACGCTCAGAGTCATTAGGACAAGATAGAGACAGTTTGGTACGTAGGGCATCCTGGTAGGCTTGTCTGACCGAAGGCTGAGATACTTTCTTAGGTGTTAATCAAGTGAGATCCTTGGTGCGCCTGCCGGTAAAGTTCATTGGAAAACGCCAGCGTCCCGAAGCATGTTTAGAGTCGACGCAAGTATACCAGAACGAGCGGAATCCAGGATGGAACCACGCCACCTGTAACTTATGGCAATGTGATTTATCTGGGCCCATCGCTGGTGAGCTACAGGACGATACCAAGTGGCATTTCGGCGCCCATTGCGTCTAAAAGCGGCGCTACTACGAAACAGCTGGTTCCGCACACAGTTACAAGGGACGCTCGCCTTTGTCAGTCCCTCCCTAGGTTAACTCATAATTACCACCTGTCTGAGTTTCTGAAGGGCCCAGGCCACCTACTTGTGCATTCATATCCCCTGCAATTACTTTGATCTCTGGACTGGTAGCACGGCGTAGTAGCGTGTTTTAGTTGTGCTTGAACGTGTCTGGCAGCATCAGAACTGCAGTCGGTGGGAGCATAAGCGGGAATCACAAAGAAACAGCGTTTTGTACTACTTGGTGAATAAAACTTAGTTGATGTCGTCACACGGGCTACACACAAACGACTGTTCACCGGAATCCATCATCATCATCAACAGCAGTACATCAGCCATTTGAACTGATGCTTCGCTGCCATACAACCATGAGGACCTATGAAATAAAGAATAAGAAGAGGGAGAGAAGGGGGACTTACCTGAAAACCTTAATGCCCTGAGCAAACTTCTAGGGTCAAGGCACCTACACCTTGTGTAGACAACATACCGTCACAAACAGCTGGCTATCGTGCAAAGATAAGGCGGCATCGGCGAGACAGCTTCCTTGCGGCTTTCACTGCCACGCGTCATAATCAGCCATTACCCCGCAGGTAACTCAGCACCAAACACACTTTAAACAGACAGTCCGATTAGGAGACGGCAGCAGACGTGCCACTGGTGTCGGTTGCGAGCCATGTCCTGTAAAGTCTCGAGCCAAGCACAAGGTGAGTCACGTGGACTCCAACCCGGAAGGCGAGACGGACCAACGGCACTCAGTTTGGTCGTCAGTGACTTCATTTCCCGTTGCCAAGTCAACTTCTGTCCACCTCGAGCCTTGCGCCATCCGACACCTGGTAGACTGAACAAGGCCCTCCTAGGTAAGAGGTGACCAGGCATGCGTAGCACGTGCCCGAGCCAACGTAACTTATTCAGTGCTATCTGTTGTTCTAGGGAGCTAGCATGATCATCACCATCTAGTACTCGCCTACGCACATCATCGTTGCGGACACGCAGGTGCCATCTGACACCAGCAATGCTTCGTAAACAACGATGATCAAAGACTTGAAGGCGCCTCAGATCTTCAGACCGAAGGGGCCAAGTTTCACTACCATAGAGCAGAACGGCCCTCACTGTGGCCTTGTACACACGGCCTTTCAGACGGAGGGAAACTCCCTTCTGTCGCCAAAGATGACGCAGGTCCAAGAAGGCAGCTCTGGCTTTTGCAATGCGTGAGCTCACGTCAGGTTCTATGCGCCCATCATTGCTGATGTACCTGCCAAAGTAAGTGAATTGATCAACCAC